GAGGCCTGAGAAAAAAAGAAAGTCCGCCAGCAGCCCAAAGCAGCTCAACATATCTCCCTCCCAAAGTTCTTCGACTAACTTCTCTGCTGAGGCTTTATCTTTTAATCCAGGAGGAAGCGGGAAAAACAAACAGAGGAAGAAGCATGTTGTTCGACGCAGAAGCATTGCTGAAATCACAGCTGGGGAATACCAGTCCGGGGAAGGCGAATCGGCATCTCCGAGGGCGACGGTGGCAAGCCTCAAGCCACCTAACCAAGAATGAGAATCATGAGCTGGAACTATAGGGGGTACGGCCAGCCCCTTACACGATCCTATTGTGGCAGGTTCTGCCGAAAGTATGGCCCTTCGGTGTTATTCCTCATGGAGACCAAGAAGGACGACAACTTCATGGAAGAAAAGAGGAAGGCTCTGAAGTTTGATCACACAGATTATGTTAGCCCTGCAGTAGAAGGTAGCGGCTTAGCACTCTGGTGGAAAGATGATGTTGTTGTTTCCATTATCGAGTCATGTAAGTCCTTCATGGACATAAGTATTAGTAGGGGTAGTGTCTTTTTTTATTGCACCTTTATCCATGCTCCTACCACAGCGGTAGAGAGAAGGGTTCTGTGGGAACGGCTTACCAACCTGAGGGCTAATCAGGATGAAAGCTGGCTGCTGGTAGGAGACCTGAATGTTGCACTCCACCCTTTTGAAAAACAAGGGCGATGCCCTCTAAGGAATGAGAATGTCGCCCCGTTCAAGTATTTCATCGCCCGCAATTCTCTTCTCGATCTTGGGTTTAATGGTCAGATTTTCACTTGGACAAACAAACAACAAGGGGATAACTTGATCAGAGAACGGTTAGACAGAGCTATTTGCTCTACGCATTGGAGGACATATTTTGAGTCGGCAGTGGTTTATCATGAAGAGTTTGTGGAGTCCGATCACTGTCCTATCAGAGTCGATATTCATCCTAAGGGTAACAGGAGGAGAGCCCCGTTTCGTTTTGACAAAAGATGGAGGGAGAACGTGGATTGCAACCACATTATTAATGAGCTTTGGAACAGTGGGTTACCTGTTGGTATTTTCCTCAAAAGGTGTGAGGTGGAGCTCCAATTGTGGTCTCACACCGACAGGCAGAATAAGCTAGGGAGGGAAAATGAGATAAAAAGGAGACTTCAAGAGATTCAGGGACCAAACACGGAAGTTGAGGAAGAGCAAAGCCTGAATAATGAGCTGAGCTTGATGTGGACTTTGGAGGAGGAATTTTGGGCCCAAAGGTCCAGAAACAGCTGGCTCCAGGAAGGAGACCAGAATACTGGATTCTTTCATGCCAGCACCATTAGAAGAAAGAATGGCAATAAGATCCTGAGATTAAAGGACTCGAATGGTTTGTGGATGGAGAATGAGCAGATTCTATGTGAGCACTCGGTTGGCTTTTATCAGGATTTATTCACAAGTAAGGCTGGGGTGTTTGACCATTCCATTCTGGATGGCTTCCCGGCCCTGGTGACTCCTTTGATGAATGATGCTCTCACGAAACCGATTGACAAGGTGGAGATCAGGAAGGCTGTTTTTGACCTTGGGGCAAACAAGGCTCCAGGTCCGGATGGTTTTCTTGGGATTTTCTTCAGAAGGTACTAGGGCTTGATTGGAGATCGCTTCTGTGATGAAGTCATTGAGTTTTTCAGAATAGGGCTGATGCCGGAAGGGTGGAACAATACCTACATCACGCTTATTCCGAAGGTTGATGTTCCTGAAGTCATTGGTCAGTTTAGACCAATTAGTTGCTGCAACTTTCGGTATAAGGTGATCACTAAGATCATGATGACCAGACTTCAAGCGTGGCTCCCTGAACTAATCAATGAATTACAAACAGCCTTCACCGGAGGAAGGCAGATTCAGGACAACATCATCATCGTCCATGAAGTGCTTAACCACTTTAAGAAGCACAAGTCAGGAAACAGGAATCACATGATGATGAAGTTGGATATGAGAAAGGCCTATGACTTGGTGGAATGGGATTATCTCATCGAGCTTCTTCGTGCCTATGGATTTGGCGATAAATGGTGTGGATGGGTGCATGCTTGCATTAGCACTGTCAGCTTCAACTTGTTATTTAATGGGGAGCCGACAACAGGTTTCAGTCCAACCCGTGGAATCAGACCGGGAGATCCTCTTTTCCCCCTCCTCTTCATCCTTTTGTCTAATGCGCTTTCTTTCCTCATTGAAAAATCTGCTGCTAACCACGATATTAAAGGTCTCAAGCTCAATCGGAACTGCCCTCTGCTCACCCATTGTCTCTTTGCTGATGATACAGTTATTTTCGGTGAAGCTTCAGTGGGAGAGGCGGAAAAAATCCTGGACATTATCAACAATTACGGGGCAATTATAGGACAAGAAGTCAATAGGGAAAAATCCTCCGTTTTCTTCAGCCACAATGTTATTTTGGAGGACCAGGATACTCTCATCTCTACTATTGGATTTGCAGCCAGCAACTGCCATTCCAAATACCTCGGAGTGCCTACTGAGTGGGGTAGATCGAAGAAAGAGACGTTCCAATTCCTGATTCAACGCATGGAGAAGAAAGGGGAAGGGTGGAAAAGCCTGCTCCTTTCTCCAGGCGGCAAGGAAATCCTTCTCAAGGCGGTGTTCCAGGCTATCCCAACGTTCATCATGTGCCTGTTCCTACTCCCCCGAGGCACAACCAGGAAGATGGATGGCATGTTAAAACGCTTCTTCTGGGCAGGATCGATCACCAAAAGAACCATCCACTGGAAAGCAGGGAACGTTTTGTATGCACCCAAGGCGGAGGGAGGTCTTGGATTTCGTCCTTTCCATGAATTCAACCTTGCCTTGCTGGCCAAACAAGCATGGAGAATCCTCACCAATCCGGAAGCGCTTTGGGTTAGAGTCCTCAAAGGATTATATTTCCCTCGGTCGAATTTTCTTCATGCGCGTAAGGGAGGGAAGGCTTCGTGGATTTGGGCGAGTCTTTGGGAGGCTAGGAGATGGATGGAAAAAGGCATCATCAGAGTCATCGGCAACGGACGATCCACAAAGCTGTTCCAGGACCCGTGGCTGAGCGCTGAGGCGGGAGTCTTGCGTCAGGAGGGAAGCAATAACAGTTCTCTGGTGGCTGATTGGATTAACGCAGTAGATAGGGAGTGGAAGACGGACCTTCTGGCCGAATTTCTCTCCCCTGCTGAACTGCAGAAGGTCACGAGCACGCCAATTGGACGCGATAATGCTGACGATTTCTGGGCCTGGAGGCATACTGAGAAAGGCACCTTCACCGTGGCCTCGGCTTTCCACTTCTTCCACAACCTTTCGAGAGTTCCTTTGTCTCAGGAGGACCCTCCGCACGCGTCCTCTAATGACAAATGGAAATGGTTATGGAGTTTGTCCCTCCCTCCGAAGATGAAATTCTTCCTCTGTCGATGCTCCAAGGGTGCCATGGCCACTAAGGACAACCTCCATGCTCGAAAGTGCTCTCCAAGTAGAGAATGTCCACTCTGCCATGACACTAGGGAGACTTTGCACCATTGCCTGTTCTCGTGCCCTCACGCATTGGCCGGATGGTCCCATTTGTTTCCCAGCTTGGCGATCCCACCGCCGCTCACAGGTTTGTTGGATTGGTTGTTCGCTTTGAGCCCCAGTCTCCCGAGTAGCCAGGTCCAGAAGATCGTGTTCCTCATGTGGCAGACGTGGAAGACAAGGAACGAGAAGATCTTCAAGGATAAGCCACCGTGGCCACCTGACACAATGATGAAGGCGAACATCGCTCACCATTAGTGGGTTAACTGCCCTCGTATTCCAGTTGGGCTTCGGAGTCCTGTTGTTCAGCTTATTCCACCCCCCGATCAGACTTCATCACCGCCATGTACTCATGACTTTGAGATACACTGCGATGGATCGTTTCTACACGATTCCCAGGAGGCGGCTTATGGCGTTGTTATCACGAACAGCCATGGTCAGGTCTGTGATGGGAAAGCTGAATCTTTGTGCTGCTTTTCTCCTCTGGAAGCAGAAGCCAAGGCGCTGCTGGAAGGGGTTCGGATGGCAGAAGCGTTGTCCTCGCCATGCCTCGTGTTGACTGATTGTCTGCAACTGGTACAAGCGGTCTCTGGTGCGCCGAGTCAATGTCCTTGGCGGACAGCGGCTACGGTTGGTGTTGTCAAAGGCATCATTTCTTCGCACCCAAGGATCAGAATCGCCCATGTTAAAAGAAAGCTTAATGTTCGAGCTAACTGGGTGGCTAGGTCTCGACATGGTAATGGGTCGGGTTGGGTCAGGTTTTGCCAAACCCAAACCCAAACCCAAACCCATGGGTTTATCTTTGAAAAAAACCCGGGGTAAAACCCACCTGGTTTGAAAAACTCAAACCCAACCCAACCCGTTGGGTATCCGCGGGTTCATGGGTACCCACGGGTTTTTTCGTAAAAAATTTACAATTACAAGTTCTTATCAAAATTAAAGTCAAATATCAATCTCTCAATATAAATTATCCATATATAAAACACCATTCTAGAAAATTCAAGCAAATCACAAATTAACTATACAAATTGTTCAACACCAATCTAGAAAACTCATGAAAATTGAAGCAAATCACAAATTATCCATAAATAACATGTTTAATTGAAAGCTTCTTTCTTTCAATTAAGTTTCTTTAGTCTCCACTCCATAACATCAACTTCATTCTACACAATTAAAAAGAAAAAATTAGACATGTCTCCACAAACATAAATAAGAATAGTTGTTTACAATATTAAATATACCGAAAAAATTAATTATATGAGTGGGCGGGTACCCACGGGCCGGGTTTACCTAAACCCAAACCCTACCCGGTGAATAGTAAACGGGTTTAAACCCAAACCCGGCCCAAAACCCGTCAACACGGATTTTACCCGCGTTGACCGGGTTGGGTCGGGTGAGTACCCGTGGGTTCGGGTTTTGTTGCCATCCCTAGGTCTCGTGCCCGCAATCAGCTCCCTGTGGAATGGATTAACGTTCTTGATGTCATTTCCCCTTTATTGTAACGCTTGGCTTATGCCTCTGGTAACGAAAGATTGCACCCTTTGTCAAAAAAAAAAAAAAAGTGGTGTCCTCGTTGATTCAAGTTCTGAATTTTCAGAATGGAAGCAGCAGCCACGGCGGCATTACAGCAACTTCCTCCGGTGGTGGCGGCCTTGTCTGGGCAGGAGAGGCAATCGCCCGAGGTCGCAGATCTTACGTGGCACAAAACTCCCGCAATCCTGGAACTGGAGGAAGAACCCAGGCTCAATCGATTAGGTTTATTATTGGATTCGGGCCCCGACCCGATAAGAAAAACTAATGAACTTCCATCCTTTACTTTCCCCGACACTATCCTAAACCTCAACTCCTCTACTTTATCCGCCATTACCAATCTCCCACCAAAGAAGCAGATGAGGCCGGCCAAGGACAGCCCTTCTCCGGCCGCCAAGAGGCGAGGCCGCCCTTCTTCCCCGGCCAGATCCTCCCGACTCCCCTCCAAACTGGCCTCGCCTGAGTCCGCCGACCGGACATCGAGCCGGCAGTCAAGACTCACTCCCGCCGCTTCTCTGGTTGAAGGGGAGTTCGCGTCTCAACGGGACACCATTGATCTCTTCCAAGACCTTCAAATTTCCGAAGATTACGTCGTCAGCAGCTCCAGCCCTGAACCCAGGAGTTTTCCCAACAGCGTGAAACAGCAGTGCTGGGAGAAGGCAGAGAAGGTGAAGGGTCGAGACCCGGCCCGTTGGCGACGCGACCCGCTTGGGAACATCGTTTTCCGGAAGCTCGTCGGATGTGCTGGTTGTTTGTGCCATGATTATGATCACATTTTGCCCTACTCCAAGGTAGATAATGGTTTAATTTCTTAAGGGGTGCAACTATCATGCTATCTGGGCTCATGCTTCTTTGTGGGTGTAAGTTTGCTTTCACGTTGATATGATGATAACATAGTAAATGAATGGAGGAGTGGGCATGTATTGTTTTGGTCATAGGTTCGTTTATTACCAATGTTAATATCAGAAGCAGCTTGCCTATCGGATTCATTTCCATATTACATTCAAGTACAACTCAGAAGCCCTACGTGCAGTTGATGTGAATGCCAGCATTGCTAGTAATGTGAATTGGAAAGAAACAGTTAGAGCCTGTTGTTCTGGTCTGTTCACAGCTCTCACTCAAGAACCCAAATTGACGCTGAAGTATGACAGTTGAAAGCTCCTCAGGCTACAGCCGAAGTGTCAGTGGAGACGAAAGATTATGTGGTTTGTGGGCTCACAAGATGAAACAACACTAAAAGTACTTGTATTCCCTGGATTCTGATAAATGTGTTGTGACTCAAAACAGATTGTTGAACGTTTTCAGAAACAAGAGAGGATCCATTTTGTGGTGCAATTGCTGACATTTGCTGGCAAACTAGACGATTTTGTTCATTTTCAACTTTCCCTATCTTCTTGCTTGTGTTTGTTATTTGGCTGATAATTCTTCTACTAGTTCTACATTGCATATCCTTCCTTTATTCATGCCACCGCTTCAGCATGATCTTTATTCATGTCAAACCTTTTTCAGGGAGGGAAAAGCACACTGGATAATTGTCAAGTCCTGCAGGTTAGGAATATCGTTATACCTTGGTAAAACATGGATATTGCTTTTCCCCATAGCTCGTGATATCTATTGATGCAGTGTCTGATTTATTGCTGCAGGCAACAGCTAATCGATCAAAGGGAAACCGAATTGAGCTATCCAGAGCTGAGCTCATCCAGAGAAGTAACTACTGCCGTGTTTCAGGTGCTGCAACATTCACCGAAAGCTTTTTCTAATGAGATTATTTCATGACATGGTGAACAGAGCCTTCATTTTTCTTGTGAATTGCAGGTCGTGATATGGATCTTGTAGAACTATTAGCGTACGGCAATGTACAGCATACCCAGGATGCAGGCGGTTGCAGGATCCAATAACTGTCTCTTTCATTTGGAACAGAACATGGCGTCCAATCTGTTCGCGTGTAGTGTAATCTGTCTGAATTTAGTTCAGATACATGGAGATCAAAGGTGTAAACTCATGTTCAGTGACCTGCTAGTTAAATTTCATGGATTAGAACCAAATGATTAATTACCTCGCTGTAGGAAGCGACGTTGCAGAGAAGCTATAAAGCCTATTAGGTGAGGAATGAAATATACTCGCTCGTATATAAAATCTGGACTCAATCCGGCTTCCGGATACTCCAAAACCCTAATTTTGTTCGATGAGCTGTTCAAGCAATTACTGAACCAAACTTCGATATAAACTTCAATATTGATCAACTATGTGATAGTGAAGTTTTTCCTTACACTTACGTGCTTTTTACACTAGCTTAAACTTGAAAATCAAGCTTCTGTATTCCTCCCCAGTGCGCCCTCTACTTCTCTCGCTTCGGGACTGAGTGGAGATAACTGATAATAATGAGAAGGTGGAGGAAGCCAGCCTGGAATGGCCCCAGCCCGATAAATGAAGCTCCTCGCCTGGAATGTGAGAGGAATTGGACCATCCCTCACGTTCCAAACTGCTGTAGGATTAGTTCGTTCGAATAAGCCAGATCGCGTGGCAAGCGTAAGTTGAAGAAGGCTGTGGGTGATGGAGTTGTGGTGCATGGGGCTGTGTTGAAGAAAACGGTGTCAATGGGGGACGTTACTTGTGATTCCAAGATGGGTGGAGATATAGTGAAGCCCGGATGTGGTAAGGATGAAAAAATGAGTTCTCCCCATGCATCGGTGGGAGAATCGGAAGGGTCAGGATCGGAGGATGAAACCCAGTGCTTTGTGATCGAAAAAAGAATCCCGCAGGCGGTATCCCAAAAGAAAGACACTCCTTCCAAAGGCCGTGTTAGCCGAGTGGTAGAAGCTTTTGAGGCAGTGTTGACCATTGCCGATAAGGTGGTGGAGCAGCCCTTGGATGGAGGCAGTGGCATTATTACTGGTACAAGGAGTAGTGACCTTGCCGGTCTGGAGACTGGGGATCTGGATGAATATGGATCTAATATGCTCACCCCGCCTATGGGGATTCTGAAAAGGCCCATAGAGGACGTGGAGGGAGAGGTGGGTGTCCCGCCAACCCCCAAGAAGCAATTTGTGGAGATAACTGATAATAATGAGAAGATGGAGGAAGCCAGCCTGGAATGGCCCCAGCCCGATAAATGAAGCTCCTCGCCTGGAATGTGAGAGGAATTGGACCATCCCTCACGTTCCAAACTGCTGTAGGATTAGTTCGTTCGAATAAGCCAGATCTCGTGTTTTTCTCTGAAACACGATCGAGTCGGCGTGTTGTTTCCCGTCGTATGCGGGGTTTAGGTTTTGATTTTCTCAGTGTTTTTTTGTGGATGCAATTGATGCGTCTGGTGGGTTAGTTATAGCTTGGTCCCCCGGAGTTGATGCTTCGGTGATTTATCATTCCAACTTCTGTATTTGCTCCAAGATTAATGAAGTCAATTTTTCTTATATTGTGATTTGTGTTTATATTAGCTGTCGTTCTGATATTCGAGCAGGCCAGTTGGCCCACCTCCGCGAATTTTGCTCTTCTATTACACTTCCTTATGTGGTCATTGGCGATTTCAATACGACCCTTCATATGAGCGAAAAAGATGGTGGGAACCCGTGGAATGCTGCTCACTCGATCAGTCTGCGTGATTTTATTCAAGATCTGGGCCTACATGATCCCGGTTTTCTTGGTGACCCTTTCACTTGGACTAACCGTAGGATGGGTAACGCTTGCGTTCGGGAACGGCTGGATAGGGCCCTTTGCTCACAGACCTGGGTTGACCAGTTCCCTGAGACCTTGGTTAAGCATTTCACGGACCAAGGCTCTGACCATCGTGCGCTCCTCCTCTCGGATAAGCCCTACGCTCGTAATAGTCGTCCCCTGTTTCGGTTTGATGCCCGTTGGGTGGATAACCCGGAGGTTCGAGCCATGGTTTGTTACGTTTGGCAGGAGGAGATTCAGGGAACGCCCATGTTCTGTCTTTGGGAACGTCTCAAGCGCCTCCGCCATTTGTTATATGACTGGAGTAGGGCAGGCACTACCAATTCTCTGCGGAACATCAGAACTCTTCAGAGTGAAATTGAGAGGATCAAATGCGTCCATCCTATTGACTGGGATGTGGTTCGTGATCTAGAGATGGAATTGAATCGTCAGTGGGAGGCGGAGGAGGCTTACTGGCAGCAAAAGTCGAGGGTCCACTAGTTGAAGAAGGGTGATCAAAATACAGCTTATTTTCATACCGTTACCAGAGTTAGGCGTAAAAAGAATTTTGTGGAGGGCCTTCGTAGTGAGAATGGGGAATGGGTAACAGAGGAGAATGGGAAGGCTCACATTGAAACATCTTTCTATCAGCATATCTTCTCTTCGGAGAACCAGGTGCCTAACATGGCGGATCGGGTGGCAACGCTGCCAATTGCTCATAAGGTCACGCCTGAGATGAACGCTAGCCTAACGGCGAAAGTTCTCCCTAGCAAGGTTCGCCGAACGGTGTTTGCAATGGGGTCGAAACAGGCGCCGGGTTCGGATGGTTTCACTGGCAAATTCTTCAAAACCTTCTGGGATATTCTGGGTGCTTCGGTGGTGGATGCGGTGTGTTCGTTTTTTGCGACTAGCAGACTACTCCGGAGTTTCAATCACACCTGGCTCACCTTAATCCCGAAGGTGGATACGGTGGAATCGATGTGACAATTACGCCCTATTAGCCTGTGCCAGTTTGTTTATAAGGTTATTACCAAAATCATGGCTGAAAGACTTGCTTGCCTCTTGCCACAAATTGTCTCCGAGGGTCAGAATGCTTTTATCAGAGACCGTCAAATCGTTGAAAATATTCTCCTGGGGCATGAGTTAATGCACTATTTGAAAATCAAAACACGTGGTAAGAAAGGTTACATGGCTCTAAAGGTTGACATGGAAAAGGCCTATGATAGAGTCGAATTGACTTTTCTTCTAGCAGTTTTGGAGAAAATGGGCTTTAACTCCACCTGGCGAGGATGGATTCATGAATGTCTTCGGTCTGCCTCCTTCTCTGTCCTCATGAATGGCACCTTCTCAGGATATTTCACTTCGTCCAGAGGGCTTCGGCAAGGTGACCCGTTGTCACCTCTCTTATTTGTGCTCTGCACAGAGGGTTTTGCGGCGCTTCTTCGGAAAGCTATTCTAGATGACCGTTTAGGGGGGGGGGGTGAAAGTGGCCCCTCGTGCGCCCCGAATTTCTCATCTCTTCTTTGCTGATGATTCTTATCTTTTTCTGCGTGGCACTCTCCAGGAATGTGAGAATTTGATTGAAGTTCTGAATGAGTATGAGGAATTGAGTGGCCAGCGGGTGAATTTGGAAAAATCGGCTGTTTGCTTTAGCCGCAATGTTGTTCGCGCGGATCAGGAGTTCTTGGCTACGATTTTGGGTGTGGGAGCAGTAGGAGTTCATGATAAATACCTGGGTCTTCCCACATTGTTTGCGCGTTCAAAATTGGCCACGTTCAGGTATCTGGAGGAGAAGTTATTGGCGTGGTTGCAGGGATGGAAGCAGAAGACCTTATCCTGGGAAGCAAAGGAGACTTTGATCAAGTCCATTGCTTTGGCTCTGCCACTGCATGTGATGTCATGCTTTAAATTGCCTCTCTCTTTGTGTCGCCTATTAGATAAACATGTAGCCCGCTTTTGGTGGGGCGTTACTGAGGGTCATTTGCGTATTCGGTGGATGTCCTGGAGGAATATGTGCCGGAGTAAGCATGATGGGGGATTGGGATTTCGCCGCTTTGAGCAATTTAATCAGGCGCTACTAGCTAGGATTGGGTGGCGCCTTCTTACTGAACCCCAGTCTCTTTTGGCTCAGGTTTACAAAGGCAAATATTTCCCTACAGGCACGTTTCTTGAAGCTCAGGCTCGGTCTCGCCCCTCGTGGGGATGGCAAAGTATCCTGTATGGTCGAGAGCTTCTTGAACAGGGATTGCGATGGCAAATTGGTGATGGTCGGTCTGCTTCCCTCCTCCATTCTAATTGGATTCCTTCTCTTCAATTGGACCCTCCGCGATTTAATCCTAGGGTCTTACCAGATGAGGGCTCCTTGACTGTTTCGGAGGTAATCCGTCAGGGGGAAGGGGTTTGGGATGACCAGAAACTGAGCCAATGGTTTGACCCACCAACCTGTGATGCCATCAAATCTATACCTCTCCCAAGGCGGCCGGTACAAGATAGGCTAGTCTGGCATGCCACTCCGGATGGAGTGTTCTCGGTCAAGTCTGCCTATCATTTAGCGGTTTCTCTTGATAAGCGCAGGGGGGGTTGGAAATCGATGGTTAGTTGGATGGATAGATCGAGCTGGATTCGTGTGTGGGAAGCGAAAATTCCTCCTAGATTGAAGGTCTTTCTTTGACAAATTCTTAACCGGCTGCTGCCTACTACGAAGGCTCTTATTGAGAAACGGGTCCCTGTTCATCCTAGGTACCCTGTGTGCTGGGCGGAGTCGGAAACCATGGAGCATCTTTTTCTTGAGTGCCCAGTTGCTCGAGCCCTTTGGGATTATTCAGGACTGGCGCACTTAGGAGAAGGCTTTCCTCGCCATACGTTCCCTTTGTTCCTTAAATGGCTACTGTCAGTGGTTCACCAACCTACGGTTGTTATGGGCGTTGTGGCTATCCTTTGGCGGATCTGGCGATCGCGGAACTGGGTTGTCTTTGAGGGCAAGCAGTTCGGGTTTCCAGCCCTCATGCGCCAATTTCAACAATAGTATGATGAGTGGGTCCGGCTTCCAATGGATAGGCCTCCTGCACGTATCCAGAGGGAGCAGCCCCATTTGGTTCAGGATAGGGTGAACGGGGTTGTGTGCCGTTGGGATGGGGCGGTTAGAATGGGTTCGCACTCGGCTGGGGGTGTAGTGCTTTTCGCTACGGATGGTGCTGTTTTATTGGCGAGGGGAGTGCAGTTTCCGTGTTTTGATGATCCCTTGGTTGTAGAGTTGGTTACGCTTCGTGAAGCAGTGCTGTGGTGTCAGTCACTCGGTTTTGCGGAGATGGTCTTTGAAGGAGATGCGAAGGTTATCATTGATAAAATTAATCAGGCGGATGCGCGGGATAGTCGTTTTGGAGCAGTGTTGGAGGAGCTCATTCAGATTCTTGGCATTACTCCTGGGTTTAGTGTTAGATTTGTAGGTCGGCATAACAATAGGGTAGCCCATTTGGTGGCTAAGAAGGCCCTCTCTTTGTATCCGGCTATAAGTCGTGCGTTTGATTTCCGGACCTGGCTGTTTTCCAGGGTGTAACT